TTAATTTAAGTAAAACACAATATTGATATTTCTTAAGGGGGCTTTTATCTCCCAAAATGCATTTTGACTTTCTGAGCCACTGTAGGTGTAGAGATGGAACCTGCTTAGGGTATATTTAAGGTATATTTCTCAACTCAAGGGATGGCTTAACACATTAACAATTTCAGAATGCCAGAAACTTTTTTTTTATCACCACTTTCTCCGGAGAAATCTTGCGCGTAAACTTTAAAAGAAGATATCCTATAAAAATAGAAGTACACACTTGGGACCACTTTAAAGTAAAGTTTCTGGCATTCTAAAATTGTTAATGTGTTAAGCCATCCCTTGAGTTGCGATTCACTCATTCAGAAAGTACGACCGTCATTTGCACTTTAAAATCTGATAGGTAAAGAAAATGCTAGCTCTCATGGCGCCTGATAGGTAGGCAACATGTTGCGTGTACCGCGGGGTGGCCTACCCTGAGGTTCGCAGGCGCCGAGCTCCCGGATTTTGCTGAATGAAGCTGACGACGCGGTGACGTTCGGAGGGCCGTCGTCGGCGTCCTGGAGCTGCCCGATGATGTGTCCGGTCGGCCTCGGCACCGCCAGAATGGAACTCGGGGTGTCAAACAACCGCCACCTAACGAATTTTAGCGACATCCGTGCCGTTCGGAGGGGCGTCGTCGGCGTCCTGGAGGTGCCCGATGACGCCCTCGACACCACCGGAATCGAACTCAGCGTGACAACTTACCCTCGCATATGAAATTTGATCGAGATCGGCGATCTGCCCCTCCCCCACCCGTCCCACCACAGCCAGGGCACACAGCGGCCCGCCACTTTTAGGCTATCTTCTAAATGCTGTAGCTCGTAAACGAGACCCATAATAACGACATCCGCCGTCGCTAACATTTAGATAAATGTTCAAAGAATAGTTTCCATCTGCCGTACGGTCAGTTTTGGATCCGGGCATACGAATGGTTTGCAACCGCGTAAAACCCTACAAAACCCGTTTTTGGCCGAATTGACTGTGATGACATGTCCAAAAGTAATTTTCGACGCCGAATTTGGATTCAGCTCGATTTTTTACGTCAGAAAACCGGTACGATCATCAAAATCGGACGTTTTTACGTGGAGTTACGGGAATTTAAAGATTTTCACTAAAAAGACCTAAAGAAAAAGCCTAAAAACTTCAAAATGCCATAACTCCTGAACCGTTTGTCCCACAGGGCTCAGATTTTTACTGAATACTCTTCTTTTAGTAGACAACTAATGGACAAATAACGGGCGAAATCGTCAAGGGTCACTTTTGACTCCTGTAAATTCGAAATGGAATGCCTCTGAATACGAATTCAAGAATTATTCCAGTCTATAATATTTCAGTGGGAGATCACAGGACGCATTCTGCAGAAGTACGTAGATAATTTACAAATCTTAATTCACATTTAATTACGTATTTATACACAAAAAGATTTGGGTTGTGTTCTGTGTCTCCTATACTTTGTAATGTTTTGAAGGGTCTAAGACCAAGTTAGTGTGAAGAGGGGCGTAGAGACAGTTTGCGAGTGATACTTTTCAATAGAGAAATGGTTTGAAAATAATGTTTCTGAATTCATTTAGTTTTGTCGCTTCATAGAGAGCGCGCGTTCTTCAGCCGAGACGGTCCAAGCCGAGCTCCGAGCTGCGCTTCGAGCCGAGTGACGAGCCGAGTCTGCCGGAGGGAGGGGGAGGGGAGCCTGCGTATAACCAGGTATAGCTATGGGCTGTGCGGCATGGGCACGGTCGGAGCGCGATGGCCGCATCCAGCGCCCCTACACTACTGGATGACGTCATGCCTGGTGCCTCTCAGCGCTCCGCATGAGAGTACAAGCAATGATACATAGTTAAGTAAAGTATTATTACTTTCAGTTGTGTATAATGTATCATCTGCTAAAAACGCACCCCCAGCGACTAAAATTTAATTAAATTGGTTATCTATTTTTTAGTCCCTCGCGTTGTCGCCCCGCCGCCCTGCCGCCTTGGCTCTGGACCCTCGCTTTGACTCTCTCGGCCTAGGACCCTCGCTTGGGCCCCTGACCGATGTCGTCACAACACATGTAAGGCTGTCATCATGGTGGGTTGGGTTACTACTAGCCGCGAGACACGCATGTTGCTGGCAATGCCGGGAACCGAACCCCGGCCGTGCCAACTCAGCGCTCACGCTTCGTTCGTAACTTACTGAGCCATGGAGCCCCGATGAGGGTCGTCGTGCAGGTAGCCCATAACACTCCAGAGGCTGCAGCCTCT